GTGCATGTAATTTAACAGTATTTACCTAGTTCCAGTTTTTATCCCCCATATATGTTAGCCCTGAGATTATGGAAGATGAAATTAAGATGATAGTGAGGGATGAAAGGACTTCACACACATACAGAGACACCCGTGCCCGAGGCGGGACTCGAATCGCAATCTTCCAGTTCGAGATTTCTACGATACTACGGCCTTAGAGATCTTGGACATCTGATCGGTCACGTGGTACATAATTTATATTTTGAAATGTATTTTAATTATAAATATTTTGAAATTATTTTTAATTTGAAAAAATCTATTCAGTGTGTATCATTCATGATCAATGTTTTCCATTCCTAAAAGTTATATTATAAACTGTATGGTTTATTTGCCGGGATTATTTTATCATTATATATTCAAAGGTCGAAACTTATTTTGATCTGATTACATTTAAGACTGGTTTGGCTTTGTATTCAAAATATGCGATGATTTCATTTTCGGCCCAAAACCCATTATTGGTTTCTTATGCGTGATGCATTTTTTCGATCAGTTTGGGCCGGTGTAGATACCGTCTGATTTGTGCATCCAGTGATCAGATGATCTATTATTTCTGATGATCGATAACATACACTACATTCGAAATTAGCATCCACCTTTTCCCATGAACATTTTTCAGTTATAAGTTCAAATAGCGTGCTTCTGAATTGCGTGAATGAAGCTTTTAGTGTCTTCCTGTAGAGAAACATTTTGGAGCTACTTGCTGTTGGGGAAATTAATGTAATTCTTTTTGGAACTGTGTAATAGAGTTGCGACAGCTCTGAATTAACTTTGTTTGTAAATGTGAGATTAACGGCTATATTATTTGTGAAGGTATCTTTAAAATGTGTATCTAGGAGTTCAGATTTTTGTAGATCGATAGTGGCACTTGTGTTGTTTAATGTAAGTATTAGATTTGGTGTTTTTTTTATCGGTTAGTATTTTTATTGCTGTCCAAAGCGATGAAGAATTTGGTTGAAGTTGTGAAGTATACTTGTAGAATTGAGATAATCTAAACTGTTCTAGTTTGTTTTTAACTTTTTGGTTAGAGAATTTAGTATAGTTTTAATCGAGAAACTGCGAGTGAGTTGCCACTGTCTGCGTATTTTAAAGGCAATTAGATTTGTTATGTCATTGGAAAGGGAATTATTTTCATTTTGTTCGTGTTGGTTTGTGTAATGGTTGACGATTTTATTGCACTTTTTGTATTATTTTCGAAGGGTTCTATAGATTGGTCAAGATAATTTTTTGTATTTAGGTTTTTAGGATAGTTATTCAATTGCATTATTTGGTTCGGAAATAAGATCAAATTTATTGTACCATTCATTAGCGGATTGTAAGATGGAATTGTTTGATTGAATAGTAGTAATATTTGGTGATTGTCCGAATTTAATGCTGGGATTGCATACTGATATATGGACCAGTTTACATTTTGCGTTAATACTATGTCAAATATATATGGTTTAATGTTTTATTGTATGGATAATGAGTGTGTTATAAGTGTGCATGTATTATCCAATTATTTTTTATAGAAATTTCTAACAATATTTTTCCTAGGTGGTGGTGGTATGACCGTCTCATTCTATCCCAGTATTATTATCTTATTTTCTTCTTCTTCTTCTTCTTCTTCTTCTTCTTCTTCTTCTTCTTCTTCTAATAATAATAATAATATAATAATAATAATAATTATTATTATTATTATTATTATTATTATTATTATTATTGAAATCAGTTTCGGTTGTGCACATGCAATATCTATTTTTCGGTTGTGAAGAAAGTGTTCGAATTCTTAGAATTGCCTTTGAAGGCCGTTGGCAGTCCAATTTAGGATTTTTAAATCGGTGTTATGGTTCATGGTTTATTATTGATTTCAGAATTTGTTGCGGAAATTGTGGTATTTGTGGGAATAGAGCACTGAGTTGTTATTTATGGATTATGGTTTATAAGTTTGTCGGTAGTTGTGTTCCTAGAGCGTAATTATTTGTAAGGTTGTTACATGATTCTGGGGAAACAGTTGGAAGTTTTAGAAAGTCTCTAATATTACCAATATTGGGAGGGTAACTTGTGTTTTGGTTGAAGCTTAAAATCAGAATTGATTGGTTAATAGGTTGATTTGTTTTTTTGGTTCGTTTTAACATTGGTTTGAAAATTTCGAAAATAATTAGTATGTCATTTTTGTTCTGGATGCTTTGTATCCTCTATAATTAGAAGTATAATTTTCAAAGCAGTTAAGACTGCTGGAAAACCTTTAGGCTTTGAGCATTTTAAATAATGATGTTTATCTTAACATCGGGCACAGCGTGTTTCTAATTTACAATTTGCTTGCGTGGGGTTTAGGTTTTGGCAGTTATACATTGAACAGGACGTTTGATTTGTTTTTAAATTTTACTTCGATAACACCGCTGAATAATAAATTCATGTGCACTATTTCACGTTACAGGATATTATCTAACAATTCTATTCCACATATTTCTAATTGTTCTTTTTTTTAAGTCTGTACACTGATATTATTGGAAAGGTTTTTCTAATTCTAATCTTATGACTATGCTATCTTATGAATATGCTGTAGGGATGTAATAGATTGTGGCAGAAATTGTTTTCTTTGTTGGATCGCGGTAAGTAAAGTATTGAATTTCTTTCTCGTCGCAGAATTTACGGAATTTTCTAAAGTCATTTATTGTAATAAATAATATTGCAATATGATTTTGTTTTATTTTTGAAGTAATTTGTAGCAACCTTTCAATTTCCGCGACTTTTTGAAGTAAAGTAAGGAACATTTTCTGCATTTTTAATTATGTTTTGGGGGGGATTTGCGCAAGTCTAAGTTTGGTTCTGGTACATTTTCTAAAGTTTCATACCTGTTTTGCATAGGGAACATTATATAATGTTTGCGCTGGAGGATCTTCTGCTACATCCAACTCTCGTTTTTTTGTTTGTAGCACTTTCTTGCTGACCTTTAATAGCCTCAACCATATTTGACACACTCGCTTGCTGAAGGATGACACACTCTGCTTGATTCACGGATTGCACAGAACTTTGAAGCTTGCGTTGCAGGATTTGATAAAGCAGCATTTGATTTTACTGTATTTCTTCTGAAGCTGATTTTGCGTTACTTCTTGTTGTTGTTGTTGTAGTAGTTGCTGGTACTGTTGGTGGATTTTTGCGAATTCGTCCTCCATAGTTGCAGGAGATCTGTTTGGGTCCAAGTTCATTTCTTCTGTATTTTCATTAATTCATTAATATTTGGACTGACCTGGAGATATGTCCCCCTGGGGGACATCGCCGTTTCACATGTGGTTCACTTCACTAGTAATTCTAATTTCACTTTAACTACAAATCTGAACAAAGAAGTCTTAAGGTACAGTTTCACACCTTCGACCTGCCACCGTCTGCCCCGGGCCTTATCTTGGCACTCTGCGATAAGCACTAACTACCCTCGGAGCGGCGGGCGCGTCTGCTCACAGTCGCTGCCAAGACTGAACTGCATTCCCATCCTCGCACAGATTCTACTTTCTGATTGCTCAATGGCACTCTAGCACCATTTTTGTTTGTTCTTTGGTTCTTGTTTCGTAATAATGTTCTTAATTGACTTTCTCCCTCACGGAAATTGCTCCCCTGACCTTTCACAATTTTTATTTACCTACATATTCTCTATTTTCCCCGCTATCAATTATGTAGTCATTCCATTGTATTCTTATGCACTATTCAATCCTTTGCTTTTCTTTTATCACATATTGTTGCTGTCATCCTTTTTATATATGTATTCGGATATGTATTTACTATTAACACACCCTTATGATAACTTATCACAATCCATATCTTCATGTCCATAGCAACAGTGTAAACTAACATATTTTAGCATTAAGCTCTTGAAGCAACGCTTTCAGTAAACAATTTTCTCAAAATTAACTACCTCTACACAAAACGTTGTAGAACATAATATTTACTGCACGTATCATTTACTTTACTTTCAGATTATATTTGTGTTTTCAACGTAATTTTTTCCACATTTTCTCCACTTCTCGGCTCCCTAATAGTAGCATGGAAATTTTATTTTAAGAATATTATAGAAGAGTGAAGTATTTTTCTAAATGCAAATTTTCATTCCACAATTTGTAGTCATTTTGAAGAAAATATCGTTTTCAGCAATTTCTGAAAATACGCTTTTTGAGATATTTTTTTAATAAGCTTGATTTGAAGTAGTACAAAAATATTAAGAATTCTTTCTATAATTTCATGACATCAAGTTAGATCAGATCAATTGGTGAATGATCATTTTGAAAAAACAACAACTATGAATATTGTAGGCTCTAGTCTTGTTTACAGACGAAAGTACGGACAGACGGGCAGACGGGCTGACGGACAGACATAAGCGTTCGATAGAACGGAGGGAGGCACTGACGGAAGGAATGACGGACAGACGGACCCACGGACGAAAAAAGAGAGAGACGGTAGAAGGGAGGTGTGCATCTCGACCGCAAGAACAGAGAAAAGGAGGGACGGAGGGACACACGGACGAAGGAAGTGAGAGAGTCGGAGAGAGGGAGGAACGCATCCAGGCCGGGAGAACAGAGGGGAGAGGAACGGACGGACGAAATAATGTAGAGACGCTCGGAGGGAGGGAGTTTTACATTCATGCCGCGAGAACGGCCGGGTGATGGGCGGTTGGAGGAGGGGCAGATGCAACAAGGAACGGATGGACAGGAGTCATCCGCCTCTGGTTTCGTGGCCCGCAAAACGCTCTTCTCGGCCCATCGCGGCGCTCCCGCGTCACGCATCGGCGCGGCAAAACTCGTTGGGCAACCTTGACTCGGCCAAGGCGAGCGCCAGCGAGCGGTCGCCACGGAATCCCCGGTGGGAAGACGGCGGAGATTGTCGGCTGCGGCCGCAGCGCACCGCACCGCGCGCCGCGGGGCTTTTCCTGCTGACGTCTTGCTCTCCGCCCCTCCCCTCCTCTCTCCCCACCACTCTCGCCGCTCGCGCAGCGCCAGTCGGCGTCCGAACGCCCGCCGTGCAGCGTCGCCCGTCGCCGCCCGTTCCCGCCCCCGCCCACGGCGAGCTGGACAACGGGATGCGGATGTCGGCCACGCACGGTGCACGCGCCCCTGCGGAGATTAGCGGGCGCGTTTTCCTCAAACTGTTGCTGCTCTCAGGTAGGAGGCGATTGTTGAGAGCGAAACGAAGCGTGTATATGTGGTTTCTACTGTTTCTCACTTTAACTCGTGTGTATGATACGGTAAAAGGTTTAGCGTAATCTCTGAGGACCGTCGCGTCGTTAGAGGAGGCACATAGCCCTTTCCGAAGTATAACGTTGGAAGAGTTTCTTTTTCATTAAGTCATTTAACAATTGCTCATGTTCATTATAGTTACGTAATATTTGCTGTCTAAATAAATACAACAAATCACAATTGTTAAACTTTTACACATTTCGTGGAGAGGAAAATGTTGCCAAATTGTTTGAAATTTGCGCCTATGTGCCATTTCAGAGTAGTAATTAGAGGCGTTGCGCGAGGGAAAAAATATTAACCTCAGGCTTATTTCTAAACATCTCGATCTTCAATTCTGACACTCAGTAGGTTTTCGAAGTGGAATGTAGAAGGCATTGCTTCCAGCCAGAACCTTGTCATTACCTACACGAGACATCCTATTGAGAAGCCTCAGGGAAGGCAGGTGACGATGAATCTTCCCAGGTTGAATTTTTCCGACGTTCATTGTTGCAGAAATTCGAAATTTGAGAAGTTTCCTTGTTGGCGTAAAGCACCCAACGTCAACCACTGGGATGGTCACATTTGTCTCGTCATCGGGAGGTTCAGTTGAGTGCTCTTGACTTCTGAGGATTTGTGCTAAACTTCAACTGTTTATAAAGAACCTATGCTTTTAATTATGCAACGGAAAGTAATCAAAGTCTGAACTATGGATCAACTATTTGCCGACAATCACTTCGAAACATTCCTTGTTGCTGCTGTAAGCCAATTTGATTTTGTCACACTACGCTCATTTTAATGTGATGTTTTTCTAACTTCTTCTGAAGGAACATTCGGTCACAGCGTTATTTGAGAGGCAACTTAATTAGTACCGCAGATGAATAACATTAGTGACTTCACGAAGGGTTGTAGAAAATCGCAGCCTAATAAGACAATTCAGCTTTGAAAAAACAATTAAATGTGTATTGAGATACTATCCAATAAATATTATGTAAAAATAAATTAGTGAACATAGGCTAGATTGAAAAACTTACTGAAACAGTATGCTGTTCAAATTTGAGTTTTCCGCAATATGTACTTCCTCTCTCACGGAATTCTCTAAGACTTGCTCCCCGATCTGCTCCCGTTCATAAAATTTGTTAATAAACAAACATTTTAATTAATTTCTGTGCGTTTTCTGATATTAATATGTACTTCATGATTTGGGAAACTGCATTTTCTACACTGTGAATTTCGATAAACAACTTCAACTGGTCGTCACAATCTTCGAAGTGAAAAAATATATTACTTTCAAAAATTTTTTTTATGTTTACAGATTCAAATCGCTTAAATTATTACAAAAATTGTTAATATACTGTAAGATTACATAAATTTTCAAATCCCGAATCCACGATGAGCAAACCGGGGGGTAGAATAAATAGATTTTAAATGTCTGTCTCTAGACGTCAGTCCAAGGTCAACTCGATTACAGACAATTTAATTATTTAATGTGCAGAAAGGAAAAAACACAAATAATTTGCGGTAGACCAGATGACTTGATGTTTTAATACTGAGATGTCCGAAAAGTTTTATTTTTCTTGAAGAGTAATATGAATGTTTGATCGCTTGTATTGTATAGAAATTCGTGATTTTATGTCAGATATGCGTTGTAAACGCTGGTAACTGATGTTTCAATGCTAAAATAAAATTTTGTACAATAGTAAAAACGTTGCAAATGTAATGAAGTTGGGAACTTACTTTCAGGAGTAAGTAAAATGTGAGTTTTTGAGAGAACATGCATTTATTTATTGGATTTTATATTTACAATGTTTTTCTAACAAAAACTTTCACAAAACTATAACACAACTGAAGATTTTTATAAAAAAGTATTTTTGCATGTATAAATGATATCAATTCTATTCAACTACATTCTAAATTTGTTATGCACGCAACAATTAGTTTTAAAAGCAGGATTGTTTTTTGATGGTAATTAGAATGCCAAGCGAAGAAGGAAGTGTGTCTAATGCGACATTTTTTTGAATTAGAAATATTTTTAGTGATCTGTGTATTAAGTAATTTTGTTTTACTTTTTAGTTATAATTCAACATTCATATGGAGCAAATTTTGACATAAAAAGATGGAAACGGCAGTCATGTAGGTAAGTTAATGTGAAGAAGTGATTCTTTTTTATTCTAACACCTTTCATTCTCGAAATGTGAAGCAAAATACTTCGGTTTTTTATTGAATAAAAAGTATTCTTAATTGAAAGAAAAGCATAAATATTAAAGTATATATTTGTGTGTTGAATCCTTGTAGTTTGTTAAGAAATAATAGTTTTCAAAGATATTTTGCTTGTCTTAATTAATTTTTGATAATATTACAGTTCAAGGCAATTCCAATGTAATTCAGGACAATGTGTTGACCAGTTTGTGATCTGTGATGGAGAAAAGAATTGTGATGATGGGTCAGACGAGACATCTAGAGCATGTCAAAATATTGGGTAAGTATTTTACATAAGTATTTTAATCCATTACAATATAAATGAGAAATAATTTTGTATTTATTTTTGAGTTTGTTTTACCGGAAGTCTTGAAAATTTGTTAGTAACAATTTTATCAACGTTTAATTTGTAACCAATAATTGCAAAGTCATCAAAACTGAGATATTGTATGATTAAAAATGAAGACTGCAAGCTATAATACAAAAACCCAGTTCTTCAAAAGACAATTCATAGCCTGTCCTGTTGAAAATACTGTAGTGATAAACAATATTTTAATAAAAATGCTGAAATTGAATTTCTTACTATTGTATTTATAAGTTATTTTAAAAATTGTATATCAATTTAACTGAACACTCCAGTGGTGTTTTGGAGCAAAATAGTTCTATCATGCCATGTGTAGATTGATTGTCCCATTAAAAATATAAAGAACTACGGAAATATTGACAATGAACTAAAGGATTTTAGATGAAGCGAGAAAATGTTTAAACGCTATAGTGCCAAATTTCTAGTCTTTCTAGAAAATAGATTATAAAAATACGTATGAAGAACAATTGCGGATCACGGGACTAAACTAAACTAAATCATTTGAATGTTAAACAAATATCAAGTAATTTATTTAAATTCTAATCAAGTTTATTTTAAAAACAAATTTCAAAATGAAGGTGTCCATCATATGCATATCGATGTGCTTATGGAGCATGTGTGAATTCTGGAGCGCGGTGCAATAATAAACAAGAATGTGCAGATGGGTCTGATGAAGCAGGATGCGGAGGTTCCACTTCAAACAGTAAGGTTGTTTGCAAGTAAGTACATTGTTCACAATTTATCTCCTCTTTATATGAAAAGAGTATATAAAAGTGTAAATGTTTTATATGTAGAAACTTTCAACCTTTTTAGCACTTGACGAACTCGTATGTAATATTGTTATCAACTTCGAAATTATTTTGCCCCTAAGGAATACCTAAGTAACAGGTCGAAAGTTCGGAGAATTCAGATTACATAATATGAACTTTATTATAGAAATTTTCAATTGCAAAATATACATAAAATATAACATATATTTCGAATATGACCGGCCCTTTGTAGAATTTGAATTGGGTGAATTTTATAACAATTAGTAATGTCTTTGAATAATATTTGGGGAAAGTAACCGAAAATTGGAATTTTTGTGATACATTTGTATTTATGATCAAAAATGTGTTGTGGTAGTTTAAAAAAATGTGTGATGTTTGGCCTTTATAATTAATTAATGAAAATATACAAGTATCAATGTCCTATTTTTTCATAATATTGCCAGAGAACCAACTTGCTTTTAAGACTTCATGATCAGTTTGTCTTTAGACGTTTCCTATTGCTTTTACAATCACACGATAACATTTTATAAAGAATTGCGTAGGAATAAGCGAAATACTTTTTTGTTGTTTCTTATTACCCGACTACCGGAACTCAATGAGCATCATTGTGAATCTTGAATGTTTGTTCGCATAAAGCTAACACGGTACACACAAGATAAACGGCCGTTTATTGACCTGGTAAAATGAAATTACATCCTATAGTCCCAAGAGGCACCTACGCTGGATGGTATTAATTCCTGTATTCTTCTTAGTTTGTTAATTATTTTCAGTTGTAAGAGTAATACGAATAATTGATAATCATTTAACCCTTATAAATATTTTCATTTTTGTACAGTCAATTTTAATGGAATCTTAACCTAAGTACAAAATACAATACAATTTACATATGTTAGCAGAGTCATAAAAGTTCGATAACAAATACATAATTTAAAATAAATTACTATTGAAATGGTTTTATTAAAACACATGTATTTTTCAGTACATATTTTATATCCATTTTATTATTTTTCAGAAACAACCAATTTCTTTGCAAATCTGGTACTTGTGTAGACGTATTCCTTTTATGTGATGGAACTAAGGACTGTGATGACGGATCTGACGAAACTCAAGAAGAATGTGGGACATTCCAGTATGTTTTTACCGTTACTTTTACTCTCTTTTTACTGTGATTCGTGGCAGCACGCTATGTAAGATTACTGAATGCATTTTATGTATGTTATCCCATAGATGCCCTAGTTACGCATTTCGATGTGATTATGGAGCTTGTATAGACCGAACAGGATTATGCAATGGAGTTCCTCAGTGTGCAGATGGATCTGACGAGAAACCCGAAAGATGTGGACCCAAACCGACACCTAAACCAACTCCAGCCCCAACACCACCACCCACTGGTGGTTGCAAGTTGCCTCCACAACCCGAAAACGGACAATACAAACTTGGAGGCTGTTCGCCACCTTGCCAGCCTGTTCCAGGACAAACTGTTGACACAGCATTTTTAACATACTCCTGCAACTCTGGATTTGTGTTGACGGGAGCGCCAGTCCTACTGTGCGAGGGCAAATGGTCTGCAGAATTTCCTACTTGTGCTAGAGGTATGTTAAGAAATAACAAACGTGTATTTGAAGTGATCTAAATTTCACGACTTAAAATTGTCTCAATATTTTTTTGCAGCGAGGTGTTCAGCTCTGATCAATCCGTCAAGAGAAATAGAATGTAAACGAAATGAAAAGAAAGTGGATTGCGATCAACCAATGCCTCCAGGAACTAAAGCCATGGTGAAATGTGGAACATTTTACACAAATGTGAAGGAATTTTCCGATTTTGATTTAACTTGTCAATCTGATGGCAAGTGGTCACGTCAAGTCTCTTCTTGCATTCCAAGTACGCCTGAAAGATATTTATTTATATTTTTACGTTATCTTTTGTGGTGGGTGTAAAACCAAAAGTTATCTCATAGACGTGTTGACTATCAACTTGTAATCTCAAGGATCAAAAAGCAAATTAAGAAATATGTAAACATTTTTTATCAAATGTCACAATTAGCATTATACTAGGTAGCTGATTATTTGTATCTTGATCTCGTTGTAAATAAATAAATATATATTATTAAACTTATTAGAATGTTAAATTATACAAAGGTTCTGTGATTTCTATTAGGCAATGTCGTGAAATGAGTGTATTACATTTATACGCGAAAGATGAATCGTCTTCTGAATTCGAAACTATATGCATAATAGTAATGCCCAGTGATATGATTTATATGGAAGAAAAGTACCTAAATCTGTACATACAAATGGAGTAACAAAGAAATAGAGTAAAATAATGTAATATTTAAATGTTTAAGTTACATACGGTTAAAGATCCGAATTTTCAAATTACGGCTAGGACAAGATTTATTTGTGTAGTAAAACCATGTGAATATTATTGTATTGCTGAATGTATAATTCTTAATTCTTTTAATAATTGGCCTTCACAAAGAAGTCGGTTACAAATCCCATTTTTAAATGTTCAAGTGTGTAACTACCCCTTTTATCTCTAATTTCTTTGTATTGGATAAAATGGAATAGTGCGTCTCAATATGAAAAGCAGTAATGGAAATTATGAATTGACCAAAATGCCCCACAATGCTAGAAGAAGTGATGGAATCAATCCTAAATCTTTCAATATATTATAGATTTACTTCCAAACCCAATTTACTGCATTAAATTGGACTAAAAATTGAAAACAATATATCGAGGATAATTTCGAAAGACTATAATATGGAACATATTGCGAATAATATTTAAAATGTGTAAAAATATGCGAGTGTTTCTTTACTATATAAAAACATGTAACTACTGTACCTGGAAATACGGATAAAAATAGATAATCAAGTAGGTTTCAAATAATTTCAAAACCCTAATTTGTAAACAAATGGCAAAAGGAAATAGAAAATATACAATTTCATACAAATCCTAGTCCTGGTAATGAAAAAATATTACTTTCGGGTAAATACATACCAAGAACTTTAGCAACGTGACAAATACAATGACAAATTTTAAATGTCAATGTCAGTTTTGTTACGTATTAACCTAAAATATCGGACACGATGAGACTAAGTATTAGATAAGGAAATGCAGCAAGAGGGAGAAGGATACGCAGTATAATGTAATTGTTGATAAGTCTGCTGCTTACCTCGGTATTTTGGTGATATTATGGGCATAAACAACTCAACAAATGTCAGTTTTAATGCAATCTTGCGAATTTGACGTCCTTCATGCTGATGAAAATCATTGTATTATGATAATTGAGATCACTGACGGCTGCGAAATCGAATTAAAGGAGAAAAGTCTAGAAAACTTAATATGACGTAAATTGTTGCTCATGGAAATGTCGTCTTGATTTTTTTTATTTATTTTCAAAATTTCTAAAAAATTGTATGAAATACCAAGACTTTGCTACAAAAGAGGCAGACTTTGTCATATGTTCAATTTGCTCATTTCAAGGATTATGGATAACTGCATCAAGCAAAGTTTGAGGCAAATTTCATTTAAGTGACGTTTTGATTAACTGACCAATTAATGAACTACCAGAAAAAGGACCTAATATTTTATCATTGTGTGCGAAAGTAAGTTAAATCAAAATACTATTTTTCTCGGACGGGCGCCGCTGAGAACGTTGCGTTAAAACTACTCTGCGTTCATTTCGAAATAGGACGCTCTAAGAAAAGTAATCTTTGTGTTTAAATTTTTCAGTAACTCTTGATCTTGATATAAATATTTGTTAAGTTTGTATGGCAGCCAATATGTTGAGCATTCCTAATTATCCACATTGTTAATTATTGCGGTTTTAACATTTTTCTCTTTCAATTAAAACTTTTTAAAATGGGAAGAGAGAAGAAATAAATATAAAAAATAATTAGATGTAATTTACTCATTTATTTTCGTCGGTGTAATTTTGAACCATATATACTATATCTTGTATTCTTTGAATTAATACTAAAATAAAACGTGTGAAGAATCTGAATCTGTGTATTATTTCAAAGGATATAACTATATCTCTCTTACCCTTTCTGAATCTTTTTCACTGTCTCCATTTCCCTTGGTCTCTTTTTCTCTCTGTGTCTCTTTTCTCTTTCTTTCTCTCACTCTCTCTGAACCTCGGTGTCTTTATACAAGTTCTTTTCTCTATTTTTTGTATACAACACAATGAAACATTAAAATAATTCAGATAAGCGCAATATGTTCTCACTGTCTGAATTTATTTTCAGAATGTGGAGAACCAAATCCCGATGGAGTGCCATTTGTTGCTGGAGGCACAGAAGCTAAATACGGAGAGTTTCCATGGCATGCGGGCATTTATCGAATGCTTGAAGGGAGTTACCGTCAAGTATGTGGTGGTAGCATTGTCACTGAACGCACAATTGTAACTGGCAAGTATACGCGCAAGTAACGGATAGAACATAGCTTTTCAAATTTTGTTCGTTCTACAACATTCTGTTCAAGAAAAATATGAGTGTATTTTCTTAACTTAATTTTGTTTTTCAAATAAGTTGATCGTTTCTTAAACAAAACTATGCTTCCATTGTTAATGTGGCACTCTTTTTATCGAATTCAATGTTGTCATCAAATAAGTCACCAAAATATTGAATTCACATTAGCAACATGAACTATTTTTTATTACATTTACATATATATTCATATAACTACCTATGTGTAACTATCAGGGCAAGAAAACTGTGTTAAAATGGATCCTGTGGTGCGTGAATTACATTCCAGTGCATGTAAATGTGTACATACTATGAACATTGAATGTTTGGTTAAACTAGTTGACGTGTACGGTTTACTATGGGGGTTTGTGTAATTAGGCACCCCAAGATCCGTCCCATCCGTGTTCATTCCAAGATGAAGACAATCCGTCTTCATTTTCATACGATTCAATTATTCCAGAATGTTCTCCGTCCAAAGGGGACGCCATATCTAAATCCAGTAACTTTACGCCAATTTTCTACAACATATTTTTCAATAATATAACAAAACAATGATATAATTTCGTTTCACAAAATCCACACTGAGAAACGATAACTTGGTGTGAAGTCGTAGGCTTGCGCAGCCAGTCATGTGGGTGATCTGGGCTGTCCGGGTGACGCCGCGTCGAAGGCTGTTGCCGACGTTTCGACCATCTTGTGGTCTTCCTCAGGGCTGGTATGCACACCAGGTCAGAGGGATCTGAAATTTCCACTCAAAATTAAAATTTTGATTTCAAATTCAATGAGCCGCGACATCAGTCAGATCGATTAGCGAATATAAATGTTCGAAAAAATCAGCTGAATGGTTTAGCAGCTAGAGTTGTTCACAGATAGACAGACGAAGGAGGGATGGGTATATATGTAATGGCATATATGAACACAGGTCTATATGTAATGGTAAAGGTACATGAGGGTCTGAAGGCGATCTAGGGGGGTATTCAATGAGCGATTTGCCGCCATTCGACTTTCTGCTGTCAAGGACCCTCAAATCATGGATTCTGTCTACACCACGTGTTAAGAGGATGTTTTCCTAAATTTACCAACAGGGATTTTTTTTCACTTATTATAGGACCACGAATACAAGTTTGGCAAACGAATAACAGTTTCTTCGGCCGACAATTCGTCGTTTCTTTCGCGATTCATTACATAACTTTCTCTTTGCTGCGAAAGCGCTTGGCGGCGTCGATTGTGTAACGGTTAGCCTTTCAGACTGTTGTACCAAAGTTGGCGGGTGCAAACCCGATCGAAGCCATGGATTTTTAAGGGCGAAAAAGTCCTTCGTACGCCTTCCTTCGGAGGGGAACTAAAGCCGGCTGTCCATGTTAGTAGATTTACTTCCATGTAAAAGATCCTCAAGCCTAAATGACGCCTATGAGCTAAATTCAAATCGCCTGTTTCTCGCCCAAGAAATACCTCCTTTCTCTGCAAGTAGGTGAAAGGAGCGTAGCGAAATTTGCGTGGTCAGACGGAAGAGCAGACCTAATGGCCTGAGTCTCGCCACGTAAAATAAGGCATTAATTCAATTCAATTCAATTCATTTCAATTCAAAGCGCTAGCGAGACAATAAATGTCAGCCCAAATTAAAAGACGAACCAACTAGAAGGTAAAGGTCTGATCTCTTTTATCGCTACCATTTCCTGCAGCATTACTTTAGGTTTTCTTCACTACATGTAGTAAACAAACTAAGAATAATGCAAGTAATGAAGAAGCTCCCTAACTAGCAGGTAGATGGCAGGAGAGTACCTTGTGCCTGTATTTTCTGGGAAAACGATATTGAATAGAAAGAGAGGGTAATACTTTATAAGATTCCGTACTGAAATCAAATACTTGGATGCACACTGAATTAAGATAATTCAGTATTGCTTATGAAAGAATGCGCGCTACCTTATTTTGTGTGACTGTAAGTTTATTGCAGGAGGATATTATTAAATTCATGAATAATTCCATTTAGAATCCCCCACGTGCACCTTATTTATTTCAATAAATAAAAATGTGATTGAATCCAAAGTTTCGCAGAGGTTGTAGCATTAAAATAATTTCCTTTGATGACTCAACTGCTCGCGTCAGAGACGTCCATGACATTTCAGTAAACACCTCTCGGTTATCTTTCTCTATCCGAAGATAATTGAACTATTCATGATATAAAATAACATTAAATCATAAGTTTATTACACCACGAAGAAAATGTTTTCACACTTCTTTCCTCATTACAATTTAAAGCATTTTGTAGGTAATCTTTATTTTTGTAGAGAACAGTTTCACAAATGATTGTTCAGTATAGGTGCTAGTTTGAAAATATGAATATTATAAATATGTTATGGGATAAAAAATTAATATTTGCATATTGAATGTTTATCACCATTGACATAACTAATATCATTGAATTAGAGAAAGATGCCGCAATCAATGGATGTACTATTTTTACTCTTCCCTTCCACAATTCCATAAGATTCTGGTCGTAGTTCTGGAAAGGATGTGCTTTGGATAAGAAAATACCCATATTTTCCTTTTGGAATGTAAATTACATCTCAACAATAGTCTTTCTAATTAAACTATTTTTACTTGAAATAATGTTAGTTTTAACGATATTAATCATCTATAAAACACATTTACAGCTGCTCATTGTTTTTGGAATTCCAATGTTGGAGGACCATTTGACTACAAGGAGTTCAGAGTTGCTGTGGGAAAATTTTATCGAAAGTGGAATGACAAAGATGGAAAACAGGAAAAACACGTTCAATTGCCTGATGTGGGTAAACTTAATGACTGAATTAGAATGAGCAATTTTGTAGTATATTTTTTTCATGTTTCTTCTAATTTTGTTTCGCAGATTCATGAAGTCATACTTCACGACAGATTTAGAGGTGATACTCTGAACTGGGCCAACGATATTGCTGTGGTGAATGTAAAAGAAACTATCGTCATGTCAATAGCAGTCAGACCAATTTGTGTGGATTTCAATAAAGAGTATGAGAGGCTCTTCTTGCCTGGTAAACTAGGAATTGTGAGTAATAGATTAATTTATTGACAATTATATGAATTGAATAAGAAAATCATGTCTCTTTGAAGTTAATTTCAAACAATGTTTATTTTTATTGAGCAAAAATGAGAATAACAAAAAGAAATATGAACTCATTAATTTCATGTATAAACAGTGAAAACAATGCCACTTGGAAGTGGGGAGAAAAGCTATATTTAACCAGACAGGAAACGAAGAGTGAAGCGAACAGAAATGGGAAATAAGGAGATATGAGAAATTAATTATTATTTATGAAGTTATTATGCATATTATTTTGCATAAGACGTTTGTAGAGAAATAGAGCTACATATTGCGATCATGATATACTCTATTGACATCCTAGTTTGTTCGCCTCCATTTTACTTACTGTCGTTCGAAGCTTTTAAGTATTTCTGTGTTGAGTGTTTACTTTATCGACTATTATATCGGAGGCGCTGGATGTGTGTTTCTTACGGAACGTTATGGACATACGTAAAAGTGATATGTTAATGAGTTATACAAGTACGATCGTAATTTTTTCATTTTCGCATCTTTGCAAAACTACCCGAGTCTTTAAGAGCGTGAAGGCGCGGGCAATCAGAATCAGCGATGGTATTTGGGTCTAATAATACATTTGGGTCTAATAATAGGAGTGGAGACAGAACGGGTTAGTTAGGTCGCGCGCGCTTTGTTATAGAAATCCACCAGATATGATAGGAAGTGTCCACGGAAGTGACCCATCGATGCACTTTGAGACTCGAAACAAGGGGCAGAAACGTCACTTACGGTAGTTTTGCACTAGCGTCTCCATATTACTACATCGGACCCGATAATCAGAACTATCCCCTGACCACTCTTTGTTCATGCTTGCAATCCTGAGGACAAATTTGCTCATTCATGAGCATTCCAATCCGTTAAATCTGTGAGTACACCCTGCATTGCATTTCGAATGATGACTCGAATAACATTAAATACCATGGTTGATGGTTTCCAGGTCATGGGTTGGGGTATAACAGAAAACCAGACTCAGAGTGAAACAATTCATAAAGCTACTTTACCATATGTTGAATTTGAAGTTTGTGAGAAAGAAGTACCTGCATCATTTTTGGCGTTTCTCACTAATAACAAATTCTGTGCAGGATATCGAAATGGTAAGTATCTTTCAATCATTTTTCTTACTTATGGTAATAGCTAGAGGATAAACAATTTTAAGTCAATAAAGTTCCTCGGGGGGAAAGTCCCTTTTTTTATCTTCTCCAAAAATTTAATATTAAAAAAAGAAAAGAGTTTCAGGTTATGTTTTATTAATAATATTGAATTTCATAATGTGTTAATGAACTTAATGATAATATCGAAGATGGTCCCCTAAGCATTGGGTTTACATTAGACCCAGGCATGGGGAACATACGTTTACTAGCCGGCAAAGTCGGACAATCGACCCGAAATGCCAAAAACATCGCAGATTGACACAGAACTGTATTGTTGCAGGTACAAGTGTATGCCCAGGTGATAGTGGTGGTGGCTATGCTACTCAATTCAGAGATGGCAAATGGTACTTGATGGGTCTCGTGAGTGTAGGTGTTCCGGCACAAAATGCGGACGCCTGTAACGTCCTTCAGTATACAACATTCACAAAAGTGTCAGAATATTATGAATTTATTCAAAAACATAAAATAGGCTAATTTTGTACAGAAATTGGTAAGTGCTTTCAACAGTTTCAAGACATGGCATTGGTGAAAGATGTCCATTGAAATGAAGTGCCATATATTTGCTCTAAAAACGCTTCATCTTGGAATTGTTCCTAAGATTTGTGACGGTGCACTAAGTGATAAATTTAAAATATTTCAAGTGTGTAGAACTACCTCCACATGTTCTTAAAATGTTTTATGGCAGGGTGGGAATTGGGGAAATTTTACCCCTAAATAAAATGCAAGTTTCCTACATAGTATTAATTTTTTTACAACTAAATGAATATTTACTTGAAAGTTTATATTCATAAAACATTGTGCAATAATTTGTATCAATAAAAGTAAAAAAGCCTGGATAGAAATGCAAGTTTTTGTTAATAATTCGTTTTTAAATTTGACTGTGTAGAAGATTTTCTCCCTCTAAAAGTTGCCTGAATATAGCTCTGTATGTTACATGAATGAAAGATGTAACAAAAATTACATTTATGTAATTTTTGAAACCCCCAAAAATTTCCCAAAACTACATTTATGTAAATTTTGAAAACAAAAAATTCCAAATTACGTTTTTTGTTATATTTCTCAATCATTTTACCACTATCCGTACAAAAAATGGAAAAAACATAAATAAAAATATTAAACAATTATTAATTAAATTATTAATATTTTTTAAAATGTACACAACAGTAATTAAAAAAACTAGCTGTGGAGAAGAAATTTCATTTGCAGAAAAAATATTTTCAATGTACACACATCAACAGATGTTAGTGCAGTTCCTCTGATGTCCTAGTGAGTGGTCCTAGGGGTGTAGTCCCGGCAGTGGCAGGATTTTCGACACTAGCTTTCCACCTAGGTCGTATTAGCTGGAAGAGAATTCTGCTGGCCTGCTGCTTAATCGGTAGGTTTCTGTGGTTTCTCCGACCGACACTAGACGAATGCCGGAGCAGTACCCTAACAAATGGGCTCGTTCGTTCCTTCCTTCCTTTCCCTTTTTGTCTTATCCTCACCCCTTACTTACACACACTTACCTAACACCTACTACGCTACCACATATACTGGGAGACCGGTTGGAAGGTTAGAACTTGTCCCGGCTGGGATATACCTGCTTGAGGCAATCCCAGCAAGCCGATGGATAGATTAAGGCCGAATCACGACATCCAGCAGGAGAGTATCACCGTCACCTCTGGTGATAAGTGGTACGTGCAGTACACTTATGGAACTAATACCTTAGTAGTTGAGGTGCCTGCAACCATGTTTGATGCAGTAATGTAAGATGCTTTTAATACTCTGCAACTTCTGTAAACTAAAAAGGTGTTTTGTTATCAAGTTATAATTCTAATTTCCCCAAAACATTGAATGATTTTAATCTTAATCATTGAATGATTTTAATCATAATCATTAAAATCTTGAGAGCTTTGAAACCAAAATTTTACAATTGTTAATTTTTGCAGTTTTTGTGCAAGTAAGCATGCATTTCTGAGTGGAATTAAATACGCGTACGTTAATACATTATTTTATTTACACAAGTTTGTTAGAGAAATACAGATATCCATAATTCTAACACATGATGTCGGAACTATACGGTAATATTTTTATCTTTTGTATTGATCTATTGAGTATATTCTGAGATGAACTCGACCTAGGTTTACTTCTGACCTTTAAATAACTTTCCCTTACAATCGCAGATTTCACTGCTTTTGAAATTAAACCAATAAATAACATATTAATGTCAGTAAATGTAACGTCGTTATTTGCGGAGAACGTTCTTAGACATTGGAAATAACTGATGAAATATCGAATATCTTCAATTTCGTAGGTTTAAATTATCGTGGTTCCATAATTATAAGAAAAATAAATAACAAAAATGAAATAGTACACAATATGCATCTTACAAAAATACAACATGGAGACCACCGACCGCGAAAATAGGGTCAAAATTTAAAACCTTGAGAGTCGCTAAATATGGATCTAATATGAAAATAAACCTCGTTGATTGAGTTTTAATTGTGGAAACGTCGTCGCGAGCACCGGCTCAGCCTTGGAGCTGGTTCTGACCTATTACACAGAACCATTCACGTGTGTGCTAAATACGCTGAGGCCGTCGGCCAAGCGGAAGTAGTAAATTGACAGTGAAGATGACAGCTGTCGCTATAATCGATGTCGGTGGACTTTAACATATTCTATCGTAAAAAGATATTCTTATATGCACCACTTTGTTGTATGTTTTAATAGTAACAATTGTAAAATATACATTTTTTAAATTTTTTTAAGGAATTTTAAACTATTTAAAATGCACGAAAGCAGTTTGCATGCAAATTTACGATTTGGGAGGGACAGAGGAAATAACACCTCTAAAATTCACCTAAATAAAAAAGGGATTATTCTAATTGAGACGGTTACATGTTCTAATTTCCAGCTAAAAACACTTAATTTTTTATTGGGCATTTATTATTTATTTTCAAATGCCGGACAATTCTAAATGTACCTAAAAGTAACGTGAAATTATTTCAAAAACATTGAATTACTGGATTACGGTTATTTCTTTGGCGGGAACAGTGGAGACGTATAGTGGTGTGGAACGTGCTAAGGGTGGGTTGTGGTACCACATATTTTCTCGAAAAAATTGTGTTAGGCAATTAGGCCAAATTCTACATTAGTGGTACCATTAATCTCCACAATATGCGGATATCTGATACACAGAAACCGACGGAGATCTTGGATCATACACGGTATTCACCAAAACTGAATGTCGTTTTTGAATTGAGTTTTGTCAAAGTTTGTGTACCATTGTTTAATTAAGATACTTTAATGGGAATTACATATCTAGATATGTTGTAGATCTACCTGATGTCATAACTACAGGAGGAAATAGGTGAAACCATTTTCCAGCAAGATGGAGCCTCTCCAAATTACCACCGATAAGTCTCAGCAAGTCTATGCATGTCTCTGCTCCTGTTTGGATTGGAGGAGGTGAGATCCTTGGCTACCGCAATCATTTGATCTAACAGCCTAGACTGTTGTCTCAAGAGATGTGTTATAGACAAGGTTTACATACTTCTATTTCCTTCAACTATCAAAGCGCTTTGCAACGACTACGCTGGATAAGATAGATGCGCTCGCGCCTCTGCGAAGAAATTTTGTAACAGACGAGCTAGTACACAACTTGCATCTTACAAAAATACAACATGAAGACCACCATTCGCGAAAATAGGGTCAAACTTGAGAACCTTTGAGAGTCGCTCAATGTGAATCTAATATGAAAATAAACCTCGTTGTTTTGGTTGTAATTGTGGAAACGTCGTCGCGAGCACCGGCTCAGCCTTGGAGCTGTTTCTGACCTATTACTCAGAACCATTTACGCTGAGGCCGCCAAGCGGAAGTAGTAAATTGACAGTGAAGATGGAGCTTGTAGTTACCAAACATTTTTGTTCTGTCGGTGTAATCACGCTCAGTGGACTCCAACATATTCTATTGTAAAAAGATATTCTTATATACAATATTTTTTGTATGATTTAATAGCAAGAATTTTAAAAGATACGTTTTTTAACAGATGTAATATCTACCGCGCTACGAAAGGAAGCCACATTGAAAATTCCAATAAAAAATTGAATGTACAATTTATTACGTCCTAATGTCACATTCACAGCAAAACAATGTTTTGCCACCACTATAAAATTCTATTTACGTAAAAATATTTTGAAAAGTGTGAGAACAGAAAACAGACTTCACGAGCGCCTTTAATTACTAATAAATTAATATTGATTAATAATTAAAAATGAAATAAATTATTATTATATGTTTTTTTGGCATCAATTACATAACTGTTTAAACTTAATTGTTCGTTTCCTTCCAAACTCATGATACCGGTTCATTTTCGTAACCTTCCTTCAGATCGATGAAACCCAATGAATTTATCTCGCCATGTTTTCTTCTCTTTATGTTATATTTAGGTAAATCTCTTGCCGATATGACAACACTCAAACCACATTACGCTTCTTCAATTTTACTTTCCCGTATACGGAGTAATATACGTGATGTAGTCGAAGTTATTTAATGCCGCGAAAAATTGATTTCGAGATTTCAACGGAAATACAGGTTTTGGGGTCCCCAGATACCAAAAAAGAGGTTCTTTTCAAAACGTCTGTCTGTCTGCACGTCTGTGAGAACCACTAGCGCCTAAACCATGCGTGGGATTTTTTCCTAGCGCCTAAACCATGCGTGGGTTCCATCTGAGAGTCAAAACTTTGAGACTGAAAATCATTCTTTAAAATTTAGGGGAACTTTACATGAAGCCCTTCGGACAATTTTCAAACTTTTCTCAAAAAATGCTCCAAATTTCCTTAAATTTCTTCTAAGAATTGAGTAACATACACTTATAAAAGTGGCATAGGTCTGATTTTCACGGTTAACCATGAATTTTCGAAAATTTCAAAAATATGAATTTTTTCCCGTGTCTTCCTACAACTACAAAGATGAAAATACAGATTTTCCCTTCAAATAATTTTTTTTACATAATAAGTTCTTTCATTAAGGTCATGTTCATTTGCCAAAATGTTAGTAGTTTTCGCGCAATATTCCATGCAATATGAGCATTTAAAAAATAACAAAAACCAGATTTTCTCGAAAATATCTCCAATTTTTTCTTTAAACTTTTGGTAGGGATTGTGCTAAATGTATTCTATGAGAGACATGAACGCCAGGATTCTCTATTCTTTGTTTTTTAAATTACTAAAATTTATTTTTTTACTTGTATCTCGCGTCGTTTAGATTTCCATTAGCGGTAAATTGTTCAATTTATTGTATTTATGAGTACATGAACTACAAATAATGTTATATACATTTTCTCGAAAACACAACACATTTAGGTGAAAACTAGCTGAAAATTCCTCACTTTTAGAAACGCTCAAACGCCAATTTTTCATAAATGGCTTCAATTTTTTTCTTGAAACTTTTTGAATGGATAGGGCTTATTGCACTCTTTAATATGACGTATAATTCATTTTAGAGTTGTTTTTTAAAGAATTACCCATTTAATTTTTTAAAGATTTC